ATATATATATGTATATATATGATATGGTGAGTCATACCTGTGATGTTTATTTGGTAACTTAAACATCAGGCATGGTATCATAGACTATATTAGTTGCAAATATTCACCTGCATGTTTTATTACTGTATTTTGCTATAGAAAAAGTAATTAGTTTATGAGGTGCAGCCCCGGACCTGTTGGAGTCTCACATGACATAAAGGTAGACAGAGCTATATGACCAGCCATGATCAGTGCCTCTGGATAGACATGGCTCACACATTTAAGTAGATGCTTCAAAAATGACTGCATGTTTTCCCAGAGCTGGGAGTGGTGGTACACACCTTTAGTCCAGTACTCAGGAGGCAGAAGGAGGTAGATCTCTGTGAGTTCGAGGCCAGCCTGGTTTACATCATGAGTTCCAGACCAGCTAGGGCTACAGGGAAACCCTGTCTCAAAAAGAATGACTGTCATTTTCTCAAGTTCATCTGTTCCTGCCCTATGCCATGGGAGCAGCATATCCTAGAGAAAAGCTAGTCCTTTGTAGCCAGAGACCCAGACTAAAAAATATGGAGAGCTGGGGGAGGAATCACATTTAAAATGCCAAAGCTCAGAAAACAGATAGGAAGCCCCAAGTTCAAGGCTAGCCTGGGATATAGCAAGACCCTATCTCATAAAAACAAACCAAAAACCAAAAAAGAAGCATGGAAAAAGAGTGACAATCCAGCTACAAGTAAAACAAGTGAGAAATAAACCTGCCACTGTCAGGCACTGTGATTCAGGATTTCTTTTTTTCTACCACAGGAGCATGACCTGGTGAGAGCTGACTAGCATTACTGGGAAGAAAAAAAAAAAAAAAAAGCAGTCTGTGAAACTTGTATCCTAGGAACACACATGTTGAATCTGTCCTCAATAAGTATAGGATGCAGGTAAACATTAGAAATTTCAAAAATTCCTCACTACACTTCCTGAGATCACAGAAATTTATTTGTAGTGCCCTTTAAAGAAACAGAAAACCTTCCACGTACATCACAGTGCTCACACAGAAGGCCTCAACTGGCCAAGTTTTGGAGAATAAGAGACTCTAGAGTGTAGGATGGGGCTCCTATATGGAATGTCACTCACCCACGGCTCAGGGACCATTGTGGAAGTGGAGGTGGAAAGATCGTAAGAGCCAGGGCTGGTTCATGAACATATAAGGTAGAAGCTTCCAGGCCAATGGAGGCTTGCTCATGTGCACCTGCCACAGCAGGGGTGTCCAACTCGGGACCCATGTCAGCTCAATTAAATAAGGGCCCAAAGGGGAGGTGAGAGATAGTGGGGTGGTGGGTCAGCACTAGATCGAGAACTATTTGATACTGGTGGCTGCTGCTGGGTGAGGGAGAATATGACTTACATACAACCACAGGATGGGCTGACTAGACTCCAGTGGACACATTTACACTGAAGGACATTTGGGTACAAACATCTGAATGAATAGGACTCAGCATGTATGGCAGAGTGCATAGGGTTGGTGCGGGGGTGTGTGGGGGGGAACATGGATGGGGGAGGGAGTCTGGATGGATGTGAGTGGGAAATGTTGTATGGAATTTTAAAAGCTCAATAAAAAATATAAAGAAACAGAAAGCCTACACAGTGGCCAGAGCTGGACACTGGTTGTCCTTTTCTACTGCTTTCTGCCTTTCTCTTATTGAACTGCTTCAGCAAGGCTGGCTGCCATTGCTCAGGTTCTCATGTTTACAGAGCAAGTGCTTTTAACCCAATGAGTCATCTCCTCAGGTCCCCAGAAAATGTTTAAACTAAAGCAGGTCTCTTGCTTTAAAAATGTCCACAAGAACATTTTAGACCAATAATATCAAAAATCAAATACCAATTCTCTCCTTTGAAATTTTAAAATTTAAGAGTTCTAAGAAACTTGAGTCACATTGAACTTAAAAGTAGTCTTATAAGCAATCTTTGAGTGTACCATTCACATACAGATGTGATTTTTACATGCACAAGGTGATGCTGTAACTAGGAATCAGTCTAGTAGTAATGAAAATACTATTAACATTGGCTAACAGCAAGAGCTCTCAATAAAATAAAATACGCTGTAGAAAAATGGAGCACATAACTACAGCAACAATAGTATTTTCTTCTATTATTTCTGTTTGAAACCTGAAGATATAAACCCTTTAATTTCTTCCCAAATATAACTAGCCTTCAACTGCATACCTAAAACTAAATTATGATGAAATCTTCCTCTGTATCAAAGCAACAAGTGAAATGTTATTTCTAGGCAACTAAATTTAATGATTTTATGATTATTTTTAAGAAAGGAAATTTGCCTAAAAGTAAAAAGGCTATATTTTTCCATATAGCATTTCTTTAATCTAAAACCAAACTGATTGTTTTTCCAGATGAATAGACCAAAGATGGATTTATATTAGTTATAGAGTAGTAAACTTCTACAGTGAGTTGTCACGTGACACAAATCATCCATATTCCAAAAACCATTCCAATTTCAACATAAGCACAAAGCACAGTTCTTAAAATAGTAATAATATTTACAGTTTCAAATAGCCAGGAATAGAAGAGGTCACAACTGGTCACAAATGTGCACTCAGAATACCTCAAAGAAACACTGAATCAGTATGGAAAAAGCATCTGAGAACAAAGAAAATTTTCATGAAAACTGCCCCCCAACAAACTGCTCCACGCTCCTCTACCTCCTGAAAAATTATTTAGGAAGAGAAGGAAAAAAACACCTTGTGATAGCTAATCCTGGGTGTCAACTCGACTGGATCTAGGATTAACTGAAATGAGAGAGATCTTCTTGATTGGATCATCTGAAGCTGGAAGACACACCCTAAATGTGGGTGTTACCTTCTAATAGCGGCCACATAAAAGGCCATGGCAGAGGAGAGCGCTTGCTTTTTGCCCCTTGCCTTCTCTCTCACTGGTGAGTTCGTCTTGCTGCTGTAGACTGATGACTAGCCAGTCTTCTGGAATTCATCAGACCTTCAGTGCCAGATTGGGACTACTGAGACATCCAGCCTCGTGGCCTGAGTGACTATGGATTCTCAGCCTCTCCACAGCCATTGTTGGACTACTGTGAGCTACTCTGATAAATATCTATATCTATCTATCTATCTATCTATCTATCTATCTATCTATCTATCTATCTATCTATCTATCTATCTATCTATCTATCTATCTATATATGGATTTACATATTCTACCGGTTCTGTTTCTTTAGAGAACCCTAATACATACCTTCTTCAAGAGGAAAGTTTACTTCTTGTAGTTCTTAAAAGGGACCCTTTATAGATATTAGGTTATAGCCTAGATTTAAATCATGCTTCTGACCCCACACCTACCTTTCTTCTACTGAACAGTTCAGCCTTACATAATTCAGTGGGAGTCTTGGTATCTTACGTTGTTCAATGTAATTTTTTAAAATTATTTTTAAAGAGGAAGCACTTGGATATTCAAAATATAAAGAAAAAAGTGAAATGAAAGACAAAGCCTGCCTCCTGCTGTCCACACAAAGAGAATGTGCCTGAGGAGCTCAGTCCTTTGTTCTCACCCATCCTAGTTACTGAGAGAATATTCTATGAGCAACAAGTAACTGATGCCTGACACTTTTTCTTTGAGGAGAGTAACAGTTTCTCTTAAAAGCTCTTCCCCAAATCTAATACTAAACTACTCATTTTATGGAAAGTTTATTTTATAGTCAATTTATATGTGAAAATAGTTTTATTTTTAGGTTTTTTATTGATCTACTATGTAGACAATGAATTTCTTTGTTCTATTAAGCCTCATAAGGTAAAAAACTTTAGTATTCATCATCGTAATATGGATTTATCCTCTAAGTATCATTACCACTGTAATCACCAACTTGGGATGATTTTTCTACTATATACAACAAAAAGTTAAATGTGTCACAAACTGAAACCTAGAAATGAAATCTGAATAGTTTTAAACTGCAGCAAAAAAAACAAGAAAGATGAGGGAGGCTGTCCTTGGTCTTAGTGTTTATGTTTAACTTACCATTACAATAGGGGTTGGATGTGTTAAAGTTCATTGGAAATTCATGGGATACCTGTCAAAAGACAAAGGACTGGTGAGGCCTGTTTTGTTATTCCAGGAAATAAAGCTTTAAAATTAGATTTCCTCTTACCTGCCACTGAGGTGGTACCTGAGCTCCAAAGCCAAAAGCTGGAAACATCTTATCACTAAACAAAGAAACAAACAAAAGCAACCAAAATTGACTTTATAAAAAAGCATTATCTTTATTCACAAAAAAAATAGTATGAGGTTATTATTTTTCAAAATTTCAAAAACTTAGAAAAGTATACTTAGCCTTTAGTATTAAGTATCTAGTATACTTAGAAAGGTGTAAGGATAAACAAAAATACCAAAACCTCTCAGAGAGCACTACTGCCAACACTGGACAACTCTCATTTTAAATATTTTCTGTGAATTAAAGGAGAAAATACTATCTATATACATTTATGAGTGTATGGAACTTATATATGTGCATACATGCACAACTGTGGAACCAGAGGACGATGTTGCCTATTTCCTCTATAGCTTTCCACCTTGCTGCTTTGAGACAGACTCACTGAACTGGCTGTTTTGGCCAGACTGCCTGTCTCTTGGGATCTGCCTGTCTCCGGCCCCCAATGATGGGCTACAGACTCAGGTCCTCATGATTGCACATCAGGAGGTCTCACCCACTGAGCCACCAACCCAGGCAGTTTATAAAACTGAAATTTGGGGCTGAGTTTAGAAGAGCTCGCCTTTAGTACCAGCACTCCAGAGGCAGAGGAAGGTAGATCTCTGTGAGTTTGAGACCAGTTTGCTCTTCACAAGTTCCAGGCCACCCAGAGCTATAGTAAGACCCTGTCTTAAGAAAAAAAATTAAATAAATAAATCTGAAATTTATATTCATGTTTCATAACCTACTATTTTCTACTTAAACCTTATGCATCGTTTTCCTGAACAAATAAAAAAAAAAAAAAAACCTAAAAAGTTACAATTTTCTCATTTGTTTTTCAGCAAATTCAACTTGCCAGAGAAACCTGACTTCAACTAATGAGGTTATTTATAGCACCTATTTATGTCACTTGATGTGAATAGTCATATATTTAACCACAGAAATATGGTACAGAAGCCAAATATTATAAAACTTTCAGGATCCTACAAGCGAATGGATGAGCCTCTTAGACCCTCAGAGTCTGTGTAGCTGAATATATCATCATGTGAGTGGATGTTAAGTATTCCACTGTATGGATAACCTCCCACATCCACATTGCAGGATGACCAGTGTGCTACATTATAAAAACACTTATACTGAACATGCTAATTTTCTACTGGAATATTCCTTGTATATTAATTCTTATTTCTAATTTTTACTGGGATATTATATGTGGAGCAGGAGTGGCACAGCATATATGTGTGGAGGTAGTGGACAATCTGGTAACAGCCAGTTCTCTCCTCCCATCCAATGGGTTCTGTTATTGAACTCAGACTGTCAGGCTTGGCAGCAGGCACCTTTGCCTGGTGAGTCATCTCATCCACTCTACATATTAATTTTTAATGTTTGCTTCCCCTGGCCCCCCAGCATTGCAGACAGAACCTACGCCATGTCAGAAATAATTTTCCTGGTTGATAGTCTATTTTGTTCCTTTTATGGATTTTAATATTAATGAATTACACATACAAACTCTTCCATGATTTCCGCCTTTGCTGTCTTAAAGGCCATCCTCATTACCAGATAATAAGCAATTTGTACATATATTTTCTGCCAAAAATTTCTAGTTTGCTTTTGATATTGAACTTATAATTCCTCTGAAAAGCGCTTTGGAGCAGGCTATGAAGCAGCGACTGCTGCCTTCCACCAACCTCACTCCTTTTTCCCCCTCTGAGCTTCTAGAGGCCAGCTGGGGTCAGGTGGCTAAGGACTAGCCAATGGAGATATGACCAGAAGGATTATTTTTCAGCAGCTTCTGAATCATGGCCCTAAAGGGAATGCACATCACTCTTGAGCTCCTTTTCCCCTCCTCCTGCTGGCTAAAGAGCTGCAGAAATCCTGGATCTGGGATGAAGTTATACATTGAGAACGGCAAAAATATCCTAACAGTTGTAACTACTGACTGCTATTTTGCCAAAGTCACTTTGTTTAGGAGTAACCATTTCTGGTTTACAATTGATGCAGAATTTATCCGATTAATTTGCAGGTCTGAATCAGGGATTCAAATTCAATTCTTGTCTAATTTGTCAATGTTGCAATCTCTCTCCTCTCTAAGATGCTATTTCATACTAAATTCACAGCTGTGTCATGAAGCTCCAATTCTTGTCTGTTTGCTTGGTTCTGCTGGTCAAGTAGGGTTCAACAGTCCAGCTTTGAAGTATAAAAAGTGACAGTGCAAATTCCCCTTTAGTTCATCCTTCCTTTTGAAGAAAAGTTTGATAATTCTGGTTCCTCCCCCCCGCCCGAGAATTTTTTTTAAAA